CAGCACCGGCCAGAGGCGGCGGGGGGACAGGGTTTGGCTCCGAGCTCCCGGTTTTACATCACTTTGTTTGCAGTCACACGGCAGTGTCTTTGGCTGTAGAAATGCGGTAACGTGAGCTGACTTCGCTGCTGGTGTGACCTGCCGTAGCCTGTCTCCAGAATGGTTTTTGAGAGTTTCAAGCCAGCCTAGATTAACATTTTCAGAATGATAAAATAAACCATTTTGCATGATTTATAGCTAAAATTTATTTCCTATAAAATGGAAATGTTAAAGGAATAATAACTTTAGTGGGGTTATGGCTTTTAACTAAATGCTGCTCCAGATTTGCAGCTTTGCTTCATGTCTCGTTATTGACTTCCTGCTGTTACTTTTCATCTTCCCTTTATGGAGCTGGTGGAGGTTGATGCAGAGGGAGTCAATATAGTAACAGCATGATAAGCCAAAAAGGCATGGCATGGTGAACTTAATAAAGCACCACTTTATCCTATTAGTATATTAAATAAACCCAGTGCATTTGTTAAAACTCCTATAATTTTAGTTATGCCTAACTCTATAGAAATTTTCAAAAATAAGTAATTCATCTAGCAGGCAAACATGTAGCAGGCAGAAAAACCTTGAATCTTGCCCAAACTGTCAGTCTGTAAAATCAGTAAGGGTAACAATTTTTCACCCTAGAACATATCTTTAATTGTGCCTGAAGCACACCTCTGATACATTTTGTATGAACGGAAAGAAAAAGACAAAGCCAGCCTGTTTTTAAGAAGTTACTGTGAATTTCTTGATCTGCAAAGTGGGGAAAAAAATACTGATTTGAAACAATGATCCAGTTTGATCTGGTGTTACTAGGAACCATTTAAACTAGAAATCAATGGGGCTTTTTTAAAGTCAGTTTTCAAAAGCAAATCTTACTGTATAGATTATTAAAGAAGACAGATAACAGAAAATTAGTTATGTTAGTTACAGATTTATTTTGGATCTAGACAAGAAAGGGGTTGTTTTGCACTTCTCTCTTTTGAGATATGCATATTCAGTCGTTAAATAATATTTTCAGATCAAGAATGAAGTAACAGTAATCAAGTGGGGAAAAACCAGTTTGCCTGGGTTCAGTGATCTTTTATTGCATCTCACATACGCTGGATGAGAACAGAAAGCAAAGGAAACAAATGGCCGTTCAATAAAGACTGCCTTAGCAGTAAAATGTTCAGTAGAATAAAGACTGCCTTATCAATAAAATGTTTAAAAAGCACCTGTAGAGGAAGCGTAGTTTTAACTCTGTCGCTGGAATCAGGACCGTCTTCCACTAAAAAACTTAAAGCATGGAACTGCAAAGGCTGTACACTTTTTAGGTAATTTGTTGCAGTATGTTGACATTACGCTTCCATGAACTGTAAAAACATGGGTATCAATGCAAGAGTAGGATGTTCTTTACTAACCAACTAACCTGATCTGTGGCTTTTCTTTCTTTCCTTGCACCTTCCCAAATGCATGACCTGTGATGGGCCGCTAGGATGAATCTGACAATCTGCATTCTGATGAATTTAAAGCCTGCCTCATCAGCCTAGGACAGGTTGGCAGTGACCTGCAGGTAGAGGAAACTCAATTGCTCTGGTTTCAGATAGGCCAGTATAATCATAGCCAAAGAGACTGTGGGTTTTAACTCCGATGTATTGGTCAGAATACTCTGAAAAGATCCTGCCTCTGGGAAGACAGCTGGATCAGATGGACTGTCAGCATCACTGGGAGCCATATTTTTCTATGCATTTTTCAAAGGTTTTTCAGGTTGCTTCTTTAACTTGGTTTGAGATTTTTGTATTTGGACTCTACTAGATAATTATGGGGAGCTCCTGTGCTTCCTGCACTCAGACCTTTGCTCATTTTCATTTCCTCGGACTTCATACCAGCTCTCTACTGCTCTCTCCTGATGTAGGATGACACAGTTCTCTCCAAACCGCTACATTACATTACAGCACACAGGAAACGTTTATTTACCTTCTTACTATTGTGCCATTTAA